TGGGGGAGGGGGGGCTTTGGGGATTCCTTTGGGGGGCAGGAGGGGGATTGGGGGGGTTGCTTTGGGGTCCTTTTGGGGGGTGGGAGGCTTTGGGGGTCCCTTTGGGGTCCTATGGAGGGAGGGGTCCTGTGCTGGGGGGGAAGGTGTGGAATCTTTAGGGTCCTGCAGTTGGGGTGGAGGAAACTGGGGTCCTGGGCAGGGGGAGAGGGGTGTTGGGAGTATTGGGATGAGATTTTGGGATGAGGGGGGGGTCTGACAACATTTCCCACCCCCCCCATTTCCAGAAACGGATGTCGGTGACGGAGGGTGGCATCCGGTACCCCGAGACCACAGAGGGGGGGAGACCCAAACTGGGGGGGCTGATGGACCCCCGGCAGGGCGTCATCGAGCGCACCGGGCGCTGCCAGACCTGTGCTGGTAAGGGGGGGCCAAACCCACAACCCCAAATGACCCAAAGTGGCCCTGAAAGAGACCCCTGAAATGACCCCAAAATAGCCCGAATTCTCTGAAATAACCCCCAAAATTACCCTAAAATGACCCAAATTCCCCAAATTATTTAAGATTGTTTCTGTTTTTTTTGCTGAGCTAGATTGAAGCTGGTTTGGATTTTGGAAATCCACTCAAATATTCTCAAAACGTCAGTGTTTTTTTGAGATTAACACAATGGTTATAAGTTGCCCCTGAATTCATTGGTATGTTATAAGTTGGCCCCAAATTTCCTCTCAAATTCCACAGATCGCCCCAAATTCAGCACTATAACCATCCCAAAGTTCTCCAAAATCCTACAGAAGTATTCCAGAATCCCAGAAATTTCCCCAAGTTATCCTGAAAGTCCTCTAAAATTTGGTCAGAGTGCCTTTATTTTTCCTGAGTTATCCCAGAATATCAGAAATTTCCCTGAATTGTCCCAAAATGTTCTCAAAACCACCGAAATTCTCCAAAATTACCCCAAATTCCATCGATCTCCCCCACAACTGTCCTAAAATTACTCCAAATCTGCACAAAATTGCCCCCAAATCTCTGAAATCCCCCCCAAAATTGCCCAAATTTGGGGCTGGAAATGCCCCAAACTGAATGGATCGCCCCAAACTTCCCCAAATTCAGTGGAATTCCCACAAATCAGTAAATTCCCAAAGCTCAAAAAATTGTTGTCTCGAAAATTTCCCCCAAATTTGTCCCAGAATTTCTGTGAATTGTCTCAAAATTGGTCCCCAAATTTTTTGAAATTCTCTTAAATTACCTCAAAATATTCAGGATTATCGCGGAAGTTCTTCAAAATCCTTCTAAATCCCACACATTTCCCCCCAAGTTCTCCCTGATTTCCTCCCAAATGCTGTAAATCCTCCAGAATTTTCCCCAAATTATCTCAAAGTTTCCCAAAATTACCCCCCAATTCCCACCACCCCCCCAAATTGCCCCAAATTACCCCAAAACCCACAACTCGCCCCCCCACACTTTCCTAAAATCAGCCCCAAATCCCATAAACTTGCCCTAATTACCTCATTGTCAAATTAACCCACACATTTTGTAAAATGACCCCAAGTTTTATTATTTTTTGCTTTAGAATGGGCTGAAACTGCCCCAAATGTCATTAATTCCTGCACAGTTTCCCACAATTGCCTGCAGAGTCATATGGAATTCCTACAAATCCTATAAATATTGCTAATTAAATTAACTAATCCATTCCCCAAATAGGTATCCCAGAATTGCTCTCCAAAATTGCCTCAAAATTATCCCGAAATTTTTTGGGATTGTCTCAAAATTATCCTTAAGTTTTCCACCATGACCCCAAATCTCATCAAGTCTCCCTCAAACTGCCCCAAATCCCCTTAATCTCCTTAAATTTCACCTCAAATTCCACCCAAATGACCCCAAAGCCATCAGTTCCCACTGATTTCCCAGGATTATCCCCAAATTTCTCAGGAATTCCCACAAATTCCAGAATTGTCCCCCAAGTTTTTTTCCTCAGTTCTCAGGAATTCCCCCAAACTGGTTTCAGAATCCCATAAATTCTCCCAGATAAGCCCCAAATCCTTTAAATGCTCCCAGATTTCCCCAGGATTACCCCCAAATCCCAGAATTTTCCCCAAATTTGCCCCAAATCGCCCCCACATCCCATCAGTTCACCCAAATTTCCCCCCTAAAATGACCCAAATCCCACAAAGTGACCCCATTTTTTTTTTTTTGCAATTTTTGCTTTAAAAAGGGCTGAAAATGCCCCAAATGCAACAATTGCCCCCAAACTTCTCCAAATTGCCCCCCAAATTTTGGGAAATGAATGCAAATCCAATAAATATTTCTTCATTTACTGCTAAGTTAATTAGTCCCCAAATTAACCCCCAATACCATAAATTACCCACAAATCATCTCCCTTAAAGTTCCAGGATTTTCCTGAATTATTTCAAAATGACCTCAAAACTTTTCCCCAGATTACCCCCAAATTCTCCAGAATTACCCCAAATTCTGTCCATTTCCCCCAAATTTCCCACCTGGTTGTCCAAAATTGCCCCAAATTCCTCCAGTCTGCCCCCAAATTCCATCAGTCTCTGCCCCATTTGCCCCAAATTGCCCCCAAACCCCATTAATTACCTCCCCAAAATTGTCCCAAATGTCACCCAATTTTGTAACTCCACCCCCAAAAATTCTCCCAGGTTTTTGAGCTGATTTTGGGGGCTTTTTTGGGGGGGAATTCCTCCATTTTGGGTCTATCAGTTGTTGGGAGGGGGGAAAGGGGGGGAGGGGTTCTTATCTTTTGGGTCCATTTTGGGGGGATCCCGTTTTTGGGTTCCTATTTTTGGGTCCTGTTTGGTTGGGGGGCTCCCAATTTTGTGCCTTTTTGGGTTCTTTTTGGGGGCTCCCATTTTGGGGTCCTTTTTTGGAGGGTTCCTGTTTCTGGGTCCCCATTTTGGGTCTTTTTTGGGCCCTCTCTTTGGGGGTCCCCATTTTTGGGTCCCCGTTTCTTGGGGGGTTCCCATTTATGGGTCTTTTTTTGGTCCTTTTTTGGAGGTTCCCCATTTTTGGGTTGGTTTTGGGCCTTTTCTGTGGGGGTTGCCATTTTTGGGTCCTTTTTTGGAGGATTCCTATTTTTGGGTCCCCAGTTTTTGGGGGGTATTCCATTTTTTGTCCTTTTTTAGGTCCTTTTGTGGAGGGTCCCCATTTTTGGGTCGCCATTTTTGGACCCTTTGGGGTCCCAATCTTTGTGTTCCCATTTTTTGGGGGGGATCCCATTGTGGGGTCTTTTTTTGGGGGTTCCTGTTTTTGGTTCCCCATTTTTGGGTCCTTTTTGGGTCCATTTTTTGGGGGATCCCATTTTGGGGCACTTTTTTGGGGAGTTCCTATTTTTGAGTTGCCATCTTTGGGTCCTGTTTGGGGGAATCCCAGTTTTGGGTTCCCATTTTTGGGGCATTTTGGTCCTTTTCAGCTCTTTTTTGGTGTATTTAATTGTTTGCCCCTTTTGGTGTTCTTTGAGGTGTCCCATTTTTGGGTTCTTTCTGGGGAGTTTTCCCATTTTTGGGTCCGTTTTTATGTGGATGTATGAATTATTTGCTTCTATTCATTATTACAGTCTAATTTTCTGTGGGGTTCCAATTTTTGGGGGTTCTTTTTTTGGGGGGATCCCATTGTAGGGTCTTTGTAGGGGGGGGATTCCATTTTTGGATGCTTTGGGGTCGATCCCATTTTTGGGGTTATCTCACTTTTGGGTCATTTCCAGGTCCTCATTGGGTCCTTTTTTGGGGCCCCATTTTTGGGGAGGTTCCCATTTTGTGAGTCCTTTTTGGGGTGGGGGATCCCGTTGTTGGGTCTGTGTTGGGTTTATTGTAGGGGGATTCCATTGTTGGGTCCTTTTTGGGGTCGATCCCATTTTTGGGGTTATCCCACTGTTGGATCATTTCCAGATCCTCGTTTTGTCCTTTTTTGGGGTCCCATTTTTGGGGGAGATCCCATTCTTGGGTCTGTGTTGGGTCTTTGTAGGGGGGATTCAATTTTCAGGTCCCTTTTTGGGGTCCCATTTTTGGGGTTATCCCACTTTCAGGGGTCACTTCCAGCTCCTCATTGGGACTTTTTTTTGAGGTCCTTTTTTGGGGTCCCATTTTTGGGGAGGTTCCCTCTGTTGGGTTCTTTTTGGGGGAGGGGATCCCATTCTTGGGTCTTTGTAGGAGATTCCACTTCCAGATGCTTTTTGGGGTCGATCCCATTATTGGAGTTATCCCACTTTTGGGCCATTTTCATGTCGTTGGATCCTTTTTTGGGGTCCCATCTTTGGGGAGATCCCATAGTTGGGTTCTTCTTTGGGGGTTGATTCCATTGTTGAGTTGGTGTAGGGTTTTTGTAGGGGGGATTCCATTTCTGGATCCTTTTTGGGGTCGATCCCATTTTTTGGGGTTATTTTTGGGGGGAGGGTTCCCATCTTGGATCATTTCCAGGTCCTCGTTGGGTCTTTTTTTGGGGTCCTTTTTTGGGATTCCATTTTTGGGGAGGTCCCCACTGTTGGGTTTTTTTGGGGGAGGGGTTCCCATTGTTGGATCTGTATAGGATTTATTGTAGAGGGTGTTGCATTTTTGGGTCTGTTTTGGGGTTGATCCCATTTTTGGGTTTATCCCAGTGTTGGGTCATTTCCAGGTCCTCTTTGGGTCCTTTTTTTGGGGTCCCATTTTTGGGGAGGTTTCCATTTTGTGATTTCTTTTTGGGGTGGGGGGATCCCGTTGTTGGGTCTGTGTAGGGTTTTTGTAGGGGGATTCATTTTGGGGTTCTTTTTGGGGTCGATTCTATTTTTGGGGTTTTTTTTGGGGCGGGGGTCCCATTTTGGATCATTTCCAGGTCCTCATTGGGTCCTTTTTTGGGGTCCCATTTTTGGGGAGGTCCCCACTGTTGGGTTTTATTGGAGGGAGGGGATCCCATTGTTGGATCAGTGTAGGATTTATTGTAGGGGGGATTGCATTTATGGGTCCTTTTTGGGGTTGATCCCATTTTTTTGGGGTTATCTCACTTTTGGGCCATTTCCAGGTCCTCATTGGGTCCTTTTTTGGGGCCCCATTTTTGGGGAGGTTCCCATTTTGTGAGTTGTTTTTGGGGTGGCGGATCCCGTTGTTGGGTCTGTGTTGGGTTTATTGTGGGGGGATTCCATTTTGGGGTCCTTTTTGGGGTCGATCCCATTTTTTGGGGTTATTTTTTTGGGAGGGGATCCCATCTTGGATCATTTCCAGGTCCTCGTTGGGTCTTTTTTTGGGGTCCTTTCTTTGGGATTCCATTTTTGGGGAGGTCCCCACTATTGGGTTTTTTGAGGGGGAGGGGATCCCTTTGTTGGATCTGTGTAGGATTTATTGTAGGGGGGATTGCATTTTTGGGTCCTTTTTGGGGTTATCCCACTTTCAGGTCATTTCCAGGTCCCCGTTGGGTCTTTTTTGGGGGGGTTCTTTTTTGGGGTTCCACTTTTGGGGGGCTGTGACACCCCAGTGTCCCCGCAGGGAACATGACGGAGTGCCCGGGTCACTTTGGGCACATCGAGTTGGCCAAACCTGTGTTCCATGTGGGATTTTTGGGGAAAACCATGAAAATCCTGCGCTGCGTTTGCTTCTTCTGCTCCAAACTGCTGGTGGATGCGGTGAGATATTGGGGGGGGGCTGGGG